CCGAAGCCTCCCTCCTCAGCAGATGTCTCTGACTGACGATCGGTAGCCTCCTCCTCCTCCTCATTAGGCTCCACCTCCACAACGTGAGCCCTGCGTCTGCGGACGGGCCCTCCTCGAGCCCCTCGAAAAGGCCTAGATGGTCCGGCTCCTCGGGAAGCCTGAGATGACCCCGCCCCCTGAAAAGGCCCAGATGGCCCAGCTCCCCAAGGAGGCCCAGGTGGCCTGGCCTGCGGCTGACCAGACCATGAAGGCATCTGAAAACAAAAGTTCAATTCAAATACATCAGTCCAAATATATACATCAGATGCAGATACAAGCAAAGGCTACATGAAGTGGGTGCATGTAAATACAATGTACAAGTGGGGTGTGTGTCAGATGTGCTCTACACAAATAGTCTATCGATGCAATAGAAATCAGCATGTCATCAGAAGTATGATAAATGCCAGAAAACTGAAGGGTACCTGAATGCCCGCGACAGACAACTGTGCCTCCCTACGCAGGACCATGCCCTCGAGTGTGGCCACCAGTCCAACCACCTCCTCCATATACCCTCGATGTGGCTGCAAACCCAAACATATGGAATAGATTATAAAGAAACTTTTGCCCCTGTAGCGAAAAGGAATTCCATTCAAGCTATTCTTTCATGTGCTGCTAATTTGGGATGGCCTTTATAGCAACTAGATATGAAGAATGCCTTTCTTCGTGGGGAGTTGGAGGAGGAGGTATATATGGATGTACCTCCACGATTCTTATCTCAGTCTACAGTTGGAAAGGTTTGTAGATTAAAGAAGGCTTTGTCTGGTTTGAAACAATCACTTTGAGCCTGGTTTGGTAGATTCCTAAAGGTAATGCTGGGATTTGGGTATAAGCAAAGTAATCCAGATCACACCTTATTTGTCAAATGCAATGTACATAAAGTAACAGTGCTTATTGTATATGTGGATGACATAGTTGTGACAAGTAATGATGAGGAGGAGGTGACCCATCTCAAGATGCAGTTAGCTAAGGAGTTTGAGATAAAAGATCTTAGTCCATTGAGATACTTTCTTGGGATTGAAGTTGCCAGATCTGATAAAGGCATCTTCATTTCTCAAAAGAAGTACATTCTGGATTTTCTCGAGGAAACGGGCATGGTGGGCTACAGACCAGCTGATTCATCGATTGAGACTAATCATCGTCTTTGTGGTGGAATTTAGCAAGCCTGTGAAGAAGGAAAGGTACCAAAGACTTGTGGGAAGACTGATATATCTCTCTCATACTCATCCAGATATTGCCTATGCAGTTGGGACAGTGAATCAGTTTATGTATGATCCTCGTACAACTCATTTGGATGCAGTCTATCATGTCTGCTACAACGGTCCGACATGACCCCATAAACTGTCTTCTACATCGGTCTGACACCACCATACAGTGTCCTCTACAACGTTATGACACCCCCATACAGTGTCTTCTACAACGTTATGACACCACCATTCAGTGTCTTCACCAATGGTCTGACACGACCATACAGTGTCTCCTATCCTTTTTTTATTTTTATGTATTTTCTTGTTTTGTTCCTCTCTTCAAACTCAAGTTGGTTAGTTTCTATCCTCCTTGAGTTTGCGGGGGGCTGTTAGAATTTACCATTCACACTCACCTACTACACTCCACTACTCACACTCACCTACTACACTCCACTACTCCTCACCTACTACCCAAACCCTCTCCTATATAATGCCACTCTGATTTGTAATACAAAATATCAATCTTGTAACAATCAATATCAATCAATCAATATTACATCATTTTTAACATACATGGTACTTTAATAATTAAGGTATGATGTCAAAAATTTAAAAAAAAAAAAAAAAAACACTTTCATTTGTTTTATTTTTTGAATTTAATTTTTAATTTTTGATTTTTCATATTTTCACAGTTTTGATGATTAAAAATATTGAAATTTTTTCATATTTTATATTTAAATTATACTTTTACATGAAAATCTAATATTTAATAATTTAAATAGAATTAAAAAGTAAAATATTGGTAAAAAAAATTATAAATTCAAACATATATTGATTTATTATTATTATTTAAATAAAAAATAATATGCAATAAATTATTTTCTAAGTGTATTTAGATTAAGTGAATCTTATCAACTTATGTTCAATATGTATACATATATATAATACAAATAAGTAAATGTCCACAACAAACACTTTTAATAATAAATCAAGACTTTACAAAACACTTCCATCACAACAATAATTGTATTTTTTTTCCCTCATAGAAAAAAATCACATTATTGTGGGAAAATAGATTTTAAAATTCATAACAATATGATATTGCCTCAAACTCTTACACATCAAAATATTTTTATTACAACGAATGACTTATAATGGCGAGTAAGAAGAAAAACAAGAAGATGATGAAACAAAAATTATAGAAGATCTATTGCAACATGCTCTCCAAGCAAAGTTAGACGAGCTAAAATAAGAATTTTCCTATCTGTTGTGAAGTTCAAGAAAAATAATGTACTTTATGCACACATTTTAGTCAAATTATAAGAAAAAAAAATCAAATGATACTTAAACATTATCGTAGCAACTCAATGATACAAAAGAAAGTACATCAAATAAAAAGTTCTAATCAAATTTTGTTATATACTGATTATTTACAGATGTCATAATAAATTATGTAACTTGGCAGTTTCATGAAAGTGACGCTACAAACATTTATACGTACGGATTTATAAATATCGTGAAAATAATTATGAAATTCTTATTTTGATCGAAATATTAAGTTACAATATCATTCAATTTTCTTAAAAATACTATTCCACATTTTCTACATAAATGAAAATATATTAATGACTAATGTTATATTTTTCATCATGCAAGATATTCGTGGCACAGGAAACGAGACTCAACAAATCTTGATGTATAAAAATATATTACATATTGATATTAATATGAAAAATGCTTGGGAGCACTAATTAGTGCTCCCACTAATTAGGTGGCAGTGGGTCCCGTCATGAATGATGTGATGTTTTGGTCTTGAAGTTGTATTTTTTTTTTTTTTTTACTTTTTTAATGCATTAGTGCTATTAGTGGTGATATTTTTAGTGGGATGAATCATTGTTGTATTAATATATTCTTATACCAATAGTATGCAAATAATATGCAATAGTGAGTTCAATGAATTTGTATTATGAGATGAAGTATTAAATAAATTTTGTAATTATGCAATTAATTTCATACCTTCAATCGTATTACAGGTACGGATTATGAAAAATTAAAGTAAGAAATTGATAGAAAAAGATTTGTGTAATACTATATATTTAAAGGACATATTTATTGTTTATTATTTAAGATAAGATTGTGACCTCAATAATTTAGTTATAAATTAATGTTTATATTTATAAAATTTCTCATTTTTCATTTAAATTTTTTCAGCCGAGTATTTATTCATTTCTTACTTAATTGTATTTTGGCTAAAAAAATTGTGTTTCGGGATCATAGTTGCCTTTTTTTTTTTGTTAACCAATTTTATAATTGTGCAAAAAATTAAAATAATTATAATTTAAATGTAATATTTTATTTTATTAACTATTTTAACCTATTTTATTTTTACTGATTATTTATTTACCAGTAAATCCTACTTCACAAACTGTTATATCAAATAGTCCCACTTTTATTCTATTATACCAAATAGTCCTGTTGGTGGTTTGATTTGGTCCTTTTTGATTTTTTTTTTTATTTTTGTTTTACTGCGTGGACGAGAGTGCCCTGTGTGTGTCTCCCCGATCAAGGCTCTGTGCTATCCGCTTATACTCCACCCGAAACACACACCATGTGAAGCACACACTGCAACGTATATCCAACAATCCAAAGCCTCAAAGGCTTCGTCGGAGACTCCTTCCAACTCACCACCAACACTGACAAAGCAACGAACACGAACGCGAAGTTCCACAGCAGATCCAGAATCACGATCGGCTTCGAGTACGCCCAATCGCTCTGCCCCTCTTCGATCTGCTCCGCCGCCGCCTCTCTTACCCTCAACTCTGGCTCGCGCATCATTCTCCGACTGTCGTGGAGGCTCGGCGGGCGGCGCACGAACCGGCGACTCAGGAAGATCTGATCGGTCAGCAACGGCGTCGCATCGATTAGCTATTGTGTGTGTGTATGTCTACCCCTCGTAATGTATATGTGTATCTGTGTGTGTGTGTGTGTCTGTCTGTGTGTATCTGTCTGCCCCTCACAATGTATGTGTGTATCTGTGTGTGATAGGAGAAAGATGGGACTAAACGGTTTAATAGAATAAAAATGGGACCAACTGGCTCATAAGTTCAAATTTTGGAATTTATTGGTAAATCTCCCTTATTTTAAATCTAACTTTCCAAAGATGTAATAAGATTTAAGATGGGAAACACTGTGGTAGACAAGATGTACGCTATATGCACTTTATAATTAAAAAAATAAATAAAAAAATTTTAATTTTTTAAATTATAACTAAAAATATATATATATATATATTATAGGAGTACATAGGATAGTTCTTTTTTAAAATGGTATATATTAGAATTTCCTAAGATTTTCTGATAAGATATTCACCATTCACCTAAACTTTTCATTAATTTCTTCTCAAATCAATTGACAAAAACCCGCCAAAATTTCAAAAAAAAATTTGAATGAAATGGGTGTAGAATTTCCCGTTTGGTTAATATCTCTCTCGATGGAAGCAGCCTGTGCCTGATTCCTCTCTATCAGCACCCACTACCATTATCCAAAACACCTACAATTGAACCCATCGCCGCCACGGTTGAGATCAGCACCGCCGTCGACTGCCACTGCACGACAACGCTGCCATCTCTCTTTCCACCCTTCAGGTATTTTTGTTCAGTACCTGTTTGTTGAAATGCCTAACAGAACCAAACTGGTTTGAGCAATGAAAACATATGCTTTTTGTATTTAAAGGGAACACAACGTTGTCAAACTGCTAACCCATGTCGGTCTCAAACAATGACGATACCAATGAGGTTCCTATCAAAGATGGGTATTTATAAGTTCCAAATTCAACAAGTTTCCATTATTGTAAGGCTAGTAGATTGTGATGCTTTAGTTGCCACAGGCCTTTTAGAGTTAAGGTCTGTGATTGGAACCACTAGTGCTGTTGGGCTGACCCTCAAGTACAATCCCAATTACGATGAACTCACAATGTTGCAATTTTGTGTCAGAAATCATTTCCTCGTACTTCAATTGTATCACTTGGATTCAATTCCACAGTGCTTAAAGGATTTTCTTGGTGACCCAGAAATTTGTTTTGTGGGTAATGGCGGTTTGAGAAGTGGACTTTCTGATCTGAATTCTCATTATGAAATAGAATGCAAGAGCGGTATTGAAGCGAGTGAGTTGACTGCTAAGATTCTTAAGAAGCCTAATCTTTTAGGGGTTGGGTTAGCAAGATTAGCCGATGAGGTTGGAATTCCTTGCGTGGAATCGCCAAGTTTGGGTAGTTTTGATTGGGGTGCTAAGGTTTTCTCCGATGAAAAAATCAAGTATGCTATTCAAGATGTTTATGCATGTTCTCTGATTGGAAGCAAGCTGTTGGGAATGCTTTAAATTTCATCTTCTTCAGGTTTATTTTTGTCTGGGTTGTGTCTTTTGTTGGTCACTTTTGATGTTTTTATGCTTGGGCTCAATTGTTATTTTGTATTACATGCTTATGTGTCTCTTTGGAATTAGGTGGGTGGTATGTGTTGAAACTCCTAAAGCTGATTGTGCTATTGCACTTATGCTGTGTTACATATAAGATAATTATAGTCATGATCAATGTCTCTTTTTGGTACGAATGAAACATGTTGATCATGATTATGTGCACGACTGTTTATTTATATGATCATACTATCTATATTAATTGATATTTAGACATGTTAATTACGCTATTGTTATGTGCTTCATAGTTTTTGGAAGAAATACCAAACTAATTACATTAATGGTTCCAAATGTATACCATTTGGGGTGTTTCGATTCTTCACCATATTCTAAGTGCGCAGACATTTGATTTGTGAACTATTAGTGTCATTGGTTTGTTTGTTTTTTTGTAAAAAATATTCTTGTTTCTTTTGGAACAACATTTAGCGAAGTAACCACTTTAAACATAGATTTCATATTTCAGGGCAACATAATTGCAAATGAGAAACCAAAATGCTTCAGATTAGTTTGCATTTTATGCTCTGATTTTGGTTATAAATTAAAGTGGTGTTGCTTATAATTTGAAGTTTTGGTAAAATGAAAGCAAGCTCTGTCTTGATTATGAGGTTGGGTGGTATTTGATTAAAAGGCAAATGGTGTTTGTTATGAAATACAATGGTGGTTTTGGTTATGATAAAATTATTCAATAATCTCTCATGGCACCACCATGACATGTATACGTGATACTCTGACCAATATGAAGTGGTACAATCTTTTGTACGAAGGAAATCACAGTGAAATTAGGTATAATTTTTTGTAGTCAAACCGTGAGGTGTCATTAATTTCAAAGCTCACCCATGCGTAGGTTAGTTTCTATATATATTAATTAATACTTTGGTAGAAAACAGGCTTTGCAATAATGAAATAGTATGCTCAATTATGCATTATTATGTACAATTATGAAGAGTTCATAAAATAGTTCACAGCTCATGTGGATCGATGTGCGTGTGCGCATGTGTGTTTGTGTGCGTTCATTACCTGACTATTTTTCAGAGCTCGGACTAGTTGATTTTTGCCCAAAGAACTGGAATAATGTAGCGAATGATCGAACTGAACAAACTAAGAGAATAAATTTAAAGTTGAATCAATTTTGTAGTAGTGAATGACAAAACAAACAAGGAGTGCAATGCCAAGAAAAAATCATCCAAGCTCGGAGGTATATCATGTATGGATACCACACGAAGTGAGATCATTATCCAACCTATATTTTGTTTGAAATATAATAAATATTAATTAATATAAAAGAAAGTAACAGCAGGCTAATCAACATGTGGCACCGCAGATGTCCCAACCTGTTAGGAAAGTGAACAAAATGATCAAATACGGAATATCCATAGCCTGACTTAGGCTAAGTTTGGCATGTCTTGAAAAAGATAAAAAGTCAAAAAGTTACTATCTTATTTAAGTCACATCATCTTATTTAAATCACATCACCTCTCTTACACATCGCTTCAAACCCAACTCAAACCCAACCCATATTTCATAAAAAGTAAAAAGTATACTTATTTAGATCATTCCAAACAATCCCTTAATTTAGTAAACTTGTGTGTATTTCAATATCTGCTTTCTCTGCACAGAAAAAATAAAAAATAAAAAAGTTCAAATTAGTTCTTAATAAGAAAAATCCGCATAAAAAATACAAATGATATTGAAGGGAATTTAACAAAAATTGATTTACGGTTTAATAACTAAAAGTCAGTATATTCGTTGCCTAGTTTGTAATGAAAATTTCAAATTTTTAACTTTAGTTTAGAAGTTCCATACGATTGACAACCTTACCAAAGATCACCTATTGCATCTTTTATTATGAAGACAATGTCTTCCCAATTAGACGGTATAATCATATGAACTATTTTATAATATGTCAAAATCGATTTATTTCAAAAAAAAAATTTCATATATTAAATTGTTTATATTCAATAAAATCTCAATAAATTACTCATTGAATTCTCAGTAAATTACTCAGAACATTACCCAGTAAATTGGTAAGTAAA